AGTTTGAGGATGTTGTGCTTCTAAAACATGGATTCTGTTCTAATTTTCTGTTGCATGTAGGTAAGTGCACCCATGTCATGCAATGCCCGCAGATGCAGGAGAAGCTGTCACATCCCCTAGAACTGGAGTTACAGACAGGTGTTAGCTGCCATGTCGGTGCTGGGCTTCGAACCTGGGTCTTCTGCAAGAACAGTCAGTGTTCTTAACCGCTGAGACCTCTCTCCAGGCCCTAGACTTAAATCTTTTATAATAATCAGGAAAAATGTTACTATCATCAAAAGGATGTAATACTGAAATTAAGCATATAGCTTTCCTAACAATTTTTGATGTATACTAGAAATGGTAAAATTTTAATAATTTATATTAACAGTTTTCAATGATCAAAGAATTTATTGCAATAAATTTCACTTCAGTTCATATCACATAGAGTGATAATGAATAGTGTTAGTCTATGATCTGGTTTCCTGACTTCCCAGTCTTGTGTTCTGAGGACGTCACAAGACAGTTGACAGAGACAGTTAAGATGAACTCAAGCCACTCATCCATTTAACACCGACTCTCTGTCACTTAATCTCTTTGCTTCCAAACATTAACATTTCCCTACATAGAACTGTCCAGAGTGACTCTTGGGAGGGGATCAGGCTGCCTTCTGATGCTCACCAGTGAGAAGAAGGTCTTAGTCTCCGGGGAAGAGAAAGTAAGGACTCAGAAGAGAGAGACAGCAGTGAAATATATTTATTCCCATTCTTTTCTGGAAAATGTAAACTCAAAGGCACCCTTGTATGATGATTACAGCCTCTGTGTATCAGTGTCAATGTGTGTGGTGTGCATGTTCTGTGTGTGTGTGTGTGTGTATGTGTGTGTGTGTGTGTTCTGTATATGTGTCATTGTGTGTAATGTTGAAGTGCTGCCATGAGGGACACAGTTTTTTCTCCTGAGATACATACATCATCTTCCTGACATCAGACACAGTTACTGGCTAGAACAAAGATTTCTCAGTGCACAGACTTAGATATGAAGATGGGGACAGTGTGTGTATCCTGCATGCTGTAAAGAGGGCACAGGGAAAGCCAGGAGGAGGTTAATCAGAAGCGCTAACCACCTAACTCTCCCTTCCATGGCTGTGACTGAGGTATGTGCCACAGCTGGTATTCCAAGACTGGGGCTGGAGAGAGTGCATTGAAAGTTCAAGATGGACAGCTGATTCTCTAAGCACTGTTCAGCCCTTGTCATTATTTAATGAGTTATTGTCTCCTTCTCTGAACAGTGTAACAGCTTATGCAGACTCTGAGCTCTCCTGTCAGAAAATTGTTTGAGTTGTTCTGAGCTTATTATTTTATGGAAAATCAATACATAAGTTATCAGTGTGAGGTGGAGATACCCATAGTGGACAATACCTTGAAATCTAGTCGGGTGATCTGACAGTATCCACTGGGTTGGTAAAGCATCAATCAGCTGAATGGTCCTTGGAGAGGAACTGGGGGAAAACTGGGGGTCAGGGTTAAGTCTGCAAATAGTCTTCTCCTAACAAATCTGTAAGTTTTGTGCACTGTTACAGAATGTTAGACACAGTGAGCACTTAACAGTGGGATGAGCACTTCCTGAGAGTTTCTAGTACAGACGCTGTGGTTTCAGACACAGCAGCCAGCAGTGTACCAGGTTTTCCTACAGATGAGAGAAAATAAGGAATATTTCAGTATAGAAGAAGCTGTGATAAAGGACCAAGACCATAGCTGCACATGTGACACCACACAGTAAGTCCATTGATCTGGATCATTCTTGGAGAACCAAACAGAGTGGGCTTTGGTCTTTATACTATGTAAGATGGGATGTGAGCTATTAAAATCGCTTCACCTAATTAGCCATCCCTTGAATACATCCAAGCACCACTGAAAATGGAGGTCATAACAGAAACCTTTTGAGCCTCACCAGTGCCTAGTGCACACCAAGCTTCTATAAAATAAATATACATCTATAAACTAAAACTTGCTATTGATAGAGAAAGAATATGTGTTCAGATTTTATTGTATCTATATAAATGACATTATTGTGACTGTTAGTGTGGTTTGTAGATCAGTCACTACAGAAGATACATGCAGTGACCTGATTGCCTTTGCATGAAGCTCAAGGGCAGGGGACTTGCATTTGAATCGTCATTATACTGTTTATCCCAGGTGTGCCTTAACAATATTTACATTTTTACATTGAAACAGTTGAACTAGAATGATAGGAAGAGACTTCATCTAATTTCTACAATAAAATACTGAATACAAAATTGAGGTCAAGAAAATGTGTAGAATGAGAAGCTGAGGGAACAGGGCACCAGAGTTTCCATGCCTGCTCAATTCTTTAGAGCCTTGAGGCTCTACCTGAGCACATTGCTCTCATTCCACGTGTTGTAATGAAAATATAGCATTCTGGGTATATATCCAAAGCAGGGAGCATGAGCATGTAAGTTTCATTGACAGACAACACACAGCTCTCCAAATTCAGGGCTATTTAGGTAACTACACTAACGACTAAAGAGTAGGTAGACATTAAAAACATATTTAGATTTAAAATAACAAAACCTTTCCTTGAATTTTCTTTTTCACTCAATCCAACATGAATTTTGTTATTATATGAGAAATGTAGATATTTAAATTAATTATATTATAGGGAAATATTTATAATACTTTTTGAAAAGTGTAATGCATCCATAGGGAACACTCAGTGTGTCAGCAGTTTGGGGGTAATATTCTTTTACTCTGCCTTTCTCAAGGAAAGCATCTTATGTTTAGATTTTGAATGGCTGACGTTTGAAACAGAAAAATCCAAACATCAGTCCAGTCTCAAAAGAGCAAGGACCTGCTCACTAAGAACAGAGAATGTTCTCATACTTGGGATACATACCTAGAATGCTATATTTTTATTACAATATGTGGAATGAGAGGAACATGCTCAGGTAGAGCCTCAAGTCTCTACTGAATTGAGAAGGCGTAAAAACTCTGGTGTCCTGTTCCCTCAGCATCTCATTGCATACATTTTCTTGACTTCAATTTTGTATTCAGTGAGAAGCATCTGAGGTACTAGAGGGAGATGGGATTGAAGGTCAGAGAACACACTGTGCAGAGATGAGCAGATATACAGACAGTAAATTAAGCACAGAAGCTTCTTTTCTTGTTACATGAGAACTTACTGACTGGCAGAAGTGGTAGATGTCATGAAGAGCTAAAGAAAACAACAAATTCCACACTCAGTCTCTGTCAGAGGCTGTACTCGGACAGAAATGAGCAGTGATCACCCCAAAGTGGAAAGGGCTGTCTAGCACTTAAAGTGCATCGCAGACAGCAGAAGATGTAACTGATTGGGGCAGAGACAAGGAGGCAGAGCTAGTGACTTCTAGAGAAGGCAAAGCTGTGGGAATTGAAGAGTTCACCATAAGTGATTGAGCAAGCCTGTGCTAGCCTAGCCTCTTGTGAGAACATAAACAATAGAAAACCAAGTGTGTAAACATGGTGTGCAGCTTGACAAGACTGTAATGTGAGGTCCATAGAGATAAAAGGTAAGAAGTTTTTATCAAGCCAAGTGTGGTGGCTCATTGCTGTCATTCCAGCACTCAAGAGACACAGGCAGGACAGTATAAATTTGAGGCCAGCCTGGGCTACATATCAAGACTAAGTCCCTATTTTATTTCAAATACCTCAGCAACCTGATTCATAGATTCACATAAATGATATTAAGGAAAATGGACTTTAAAATATAGGAAATGACAACTTTTACTGAGCAAACATGATGTACTAAAGGATGGCAAAACTTTCGTAATCTTTCATTTATTTTAGGGCATGATCATATTCAGGCCCTACCCCACTCTCCAACCCTACCTTATTACCCCCCTCAAATGTCATGGCCTCTACTATTATTTGTCTTTATATTAAAGGCCTATCCAGTCTAATCTGTGCTTCTAAGACTCTTGGGTGCTGGTCTATTTCTTGTGTTCTGGTCCACCTACCAGGTAGGAAAACTGAGACGTCCTCTTTCAGCACCCAGCAGCAATCAGTTTCCAAAACATCCTCAGCTAGGGCTAAGGCTTCCTGCCAACCAGGTTGGGTAATTTCATATAAAGAAAATAGCTGTAGCGCTGACTGTGCTCAGCCCCACACACAACTGTGAACAGAAGGTCTGGGGTGCTTTTTGTTCACTGACTGATTTCCCTTTCACTTCTCAGCTCCTGTCTCCATTCACAAGATGCTTTGCAGACCATCGCCTTGACCAGGGCATGCCCTGGCTTGATTCTGTGCAACACAGGCATCACTGATTTGACTTGACTTTTCTTTCTCTAAAATAGGAATTCCACTTGGGGAAAATAGTACTTGTTACCTGCTGGGTCTGAGTGCCACCTGCAGTGAGCACAGAATACTCTGGGCCCAATAATCTCTGAAAAGATTGAAGAGAACTTGTGCATGGCAATGGAAATTCAGAGCGACTAGGAGGTCAGAGAGACCTTTGGTGGTATTGACAACTAATTAATGAGAAACACAAAAAAGAAAAATAAGAACTGAGCAGCAATTAACCCTTTTTCGCTCCCTTTATTTGAAAGCATGCCTTACACTGTAATTTAGGCTAAGACTCATGGTAAGCCTCTGCCTCAGCTTCCTCACAGCTGGGACTATAGGTAGGGACCAGCATGCCTCATAACTTTAACACTTTAACAATGTTTTGGAACATGGTACACTTTGGAAAAACCAACTGATGTGGTCAACAGAGAAAGGATTTGATTTGAAAAGGTAAGGGGAGGAATGGTCATTTCTAAACAGGGATTTCATAATTGTAGGTAGAGATTTCCTTCTCTGACTTAACTGTGGCTCTGAACGTAATGAAGTTACTAATTTCCTCATCCACAGGAACCTTCTGATGCTTTTTTCTTCTCCACACACTCACATGAACCCACACACACATATATACATACTTTCATTCACACAAGACTTAAAATAACTTTCCTCATCTGAAGGAGCCTTCTGATGGTTTGCTATTCTCTGTTCCAGGAAATGAGTCTCAACTGTTCTCTGTGGCAGGGGAACAGCGTGTTTGTCAAATGCTTTGCTTTTGCCAAGTTCTCTGAGGTCCATGGAGAGTGTTCTCTCCTCTTCACCCTTGTGCTCTTCATGTTCTTGGTGTCCCTGACTGGCAACGCACTCATCACTCTAGCCATCTGGATGAACCCAGCCCTCCACACTCCCATGTACTTCTTCCTGGCCAACTTGTCTCTCCTGGAGATCGGTTACACGTGCTCAGTCATACCTAAGATCCTCCAGAGCCTTGTGAGTGAGGCCAGAGGGATCTCTTGGGTGGGCTGTGCCACACAGATGTTTTTCTTCTCATTCTTAGGCATCACTGAGTGCTGCCTTCTGGCAGCCATGGCTTTTGACCGCTACATGGCCATATGTGTCCCACTGCACTATGCAACAAGAATGGGTCATGGGGTGTGTGCCCAACTGGCCATGGTGTCTTGGGGAATGGGATGCATAGTAGGTTTGTTACAGACCACTTTCATTTTCTCCTTGGACTTCTGTGGGCCCTGTGAGATAGACCATTTCTTCTGTGACCTCCTCCCCATCCTCTCACTTGCCTGTGGGGATACATACAAGAATGAGGCTGTGACTTTTGTGGCTGCTGTCCTCTGCATTTCCAGTCCATTTTTACTGATCATTGCTTCCTATGGCAGAATTCTAGCTGCAGTGCTGGTCATGCACTCCCCTGAGGGCCGCCATAAAGCCCTCTCCACATGTTCCTCCCACCTACTTGTAGTAACACTCTTTTATGGCTCAGCATCTGTCACCTACTTGAGGCCAAAATCTAGTCACTCTCCAGGAGTAGATAAACTCCTGGCCCTCTTCTATACAGCAGTGACGTCCCTGCTGAACCCCATAATCTACACTTTACGAAACAAGGAAGTAAAGGCAGCACTGTGGAGAACTCTGGGCAGGAGAAAGATTCTGACAATGTATAGGTAGTGAGGACCACACAGAAGAGGATGCACAGACAGCGGGTCTGAAGAAATAAAACTGGCACACGCTTCCCACATATTATAAGGTGCCTCTGTAATAACTATCCCTGTAATTTCAGAACCATTTCTGGAATCAGTGCCATATTTTAATTGTAAGTTCTGGAAGAAAATTAGCTACTAAAATTTTTTAGAAGAGAAAAATAAAAAAAGGTTGATTTACTGTCATATTTTCATCTCATTTAAGAATCTGAAGTACCTAGTTTAATCTCAGATATCTGACCAAATCCTGTTGCTTCTGGTGACTTCTGCTGTCCATGTGCTTAAAACACATGACTATTTATTCCCTGGTAACTGTTTTTTTGAATCATGCTACTTCATTAAATATCAGGGTTTTTAAAAGCTTCGATGGGATTACTGGCATATAATAACAGTCTGTGAATGCTTTTATGAATAATATGAGCCATAAAAGTGTGTAAGATCCCAGTAAATCAAACTGTTAAGTTTTGGAACTAGTTACTTCAAAACATGAAAGAAAATATGGTAAATATTTTGTAGATGCTTTTGGCTATTATTTTGGTTTTGTTTGTTTGTTTGTTTGTTGAGTTTTTGCATGTTTTTCTTTACTTGCTACATCATTTTTCACTTTTTATGAAAAAGTGTGACTTCTTCAAAAAGGTGAAGGAAGGAAAGAAAAGACAATTTTTAACTTAAAGACAAAATATTAATGACTGAAAGATAAAAGACAAAAAATAAACTAAAAATAATATAAATTATTGTAAGATTTTGTGTGATTTATGAGTTGTATGCATTTGACTTGCATGTATATGACACAATGTATTGAAGATCTTCCAAGTTATGATACAATTCAGTATTCCTCAGCCCAGGTAAGGGGATGATTTTGGATTAGGACATATAATTCTCAGTGCCCAGATGATGGGCTTCTAAATGAAATACCTAAGAAAAGGAACCAGGGCTCAATGCAGAGCTGTTTCCAAGGGAAAGGGAAATGACCCGGAAAAATCTGTGGTGCTAGAAAATAAAGAAATGTAGACAGGGTGCAGTTTCTTATAGAAAACACAGGAGCTTCAAAGGGAGACACGTTCAACAAATCCAAATGCAGAGATGTTCTAGTAAATAGCTTCTGGTTTTTTTTCTTCTTCAAAGTGTGATCATTAAATTAAAAATGTTAATTTACTACCACATATTGGATTAGAGTAAAATACATAATGAATATTCGCTACTCAAATCCTGGATTGGATCCTGACATGGAAAATGGACAGTAGAGGAAAAATTACTGAAGGAGTGAGGTCTGTGTTCAGGGAACTTGGTTGTGTTTCGTTTTTGTAATTTCCAGGGTTTGAGACTTAACAAAACAGATGTACAGAACTTAATGTTATCCAGCTGAGTATAACACGAAAAATCTGTACATCTGTACATCTGTCTTCTTTTTAGATTTCCTAGAAAATTGAAAGAGCACAGAATAGTAAATTGGCATTCTCAAAGAGTTGCTAAGCATGTTTAGTACCTGCAAAGTAGCTAGCAAAAAGCAAGGCTTCTGCTGTGCTGATAGTTCTGTTTCTTTCTTTTTTAAATTTCTTTTTTTCCTGGATTGTTGTAATTTTCATACAATAGAATTTGATGGTGTTTAGATCCCCTACCCTATCCTCACCTTCCCTTGTTGCCCCCACACCCAACTTAATATACTCTATAGTACATATAATAAGGCCTATAGGGTTTAATGTGTCTCCAAATATCCTTCAGTGTGGGTCCATCCACTGGAGCATGCTTAGCCTACCAAGAGTCCCATCCTTGAAAGAGACTGTCTCTGCCCTTCCCAGAAGCCATCTGATGCAACAATTTCTTTAGGTGGGGCTAGCATTTCTTACCCACTTCCTCATGTCTATGCTGGGATTTCATCTGGCTTGAGCTTGCATAGAAATTCTGCATGGTCAGCCTTGCTGTGAGTTCATATTAACAACTGACCAACTGTCTGACAAACTATTTCCTTATGGTCATCTACTACCTCTGGTTCTTACAATCTTTCTCTCCCCCTCTTCCACAATAATCCCTGAACCTTGGGAAGCAGAAGTTTGATACAGGTGTACTATTCAGGGATAAGCACTCTGCAGCCAATTGTGGGTTTCTGTGTTAATCACCATCAGCTGCATAAAGAAACTTCTCTGCTGAGAGTTAAGAGCTGTATTAATCTATATGTATAACAATAAATCATTAAGAGTCAGTTAGTACATCAAATATTTAATAGAAAACTAGTATTAGCTTCTTCTCTACGTCCTGTGACCTGTTTAAGCTCAGGTTCCTAAGACTGATATCAACATCAGATATGGGCCCCATCCTAGGAACTGAACCTTAAATCCAATTAAAGAGTGGTTGGTTGCTCCCATTATATTTGTTCTAGTGTCACACCAGTGGACATAACTTGCCAGGCCATTTGTTACTGAATTTCACAGTATTTATAGCTGGGTAAAGACAATGATGATTTTTTTTTTCCTTCTAGTAGCTTGCAGAGTGCCTTCCAGCACTAGAAACACTAGCCAGTAGAAATGAGGCCCTGAAGTCAGCACCAGCATGATTTCTCCCTATTTGTTCTCATATCTTCAACAGTAGAGTCTTACCATCAAGTTCTGTGGGTAACCAAGAGAAAGGGAAATGGCCAGTATAGGTTGAAAGTCTATGAGACCCTGGTCAACAGCTTCTAGAGAGGAAGTTCATTCCTGGTATTGAGGACTTATTTTTTAATTATCTTAGGACAGCTAGGAAGGACAACATTCCCTTGTCATAGGATAATTCCTTTAAATATCTTTCATGATTTACATGTATACACTTCAAGAAAGTTCTATAGCGGTATATTTCCATATGGCTTTTTCTATACTTTTTCTATAGGCCTTTAGTGTTATTTATCCCACACCATACTCCATCCTCTGTCCTACCCTCCCATTCCACATACCATTTTCACCCTTACTTATGGTCCCTTTTCTCCTTCATATCACTGCATTCTACCACAGCTCTCTGGAAGCTTCCTGACTACCCACACACAGCCATTCATCTGTTTCTTGACATCTCTGAATTTTGAAATTGAAACATGTGTATCTAAGATTTCAAAGGTAGCATCCACCTATGAGAGAGAACATGAGGCATTTGTCTTTGTGAGTCTGTATTACCTCTTACCTCACTCAGGTTGATTGTTTCCAGTTTTTTCCATTTACCTGAGAATTTCATAATTTCAGTTTTGAGAGTTGAATAATATTCCACTGTGTACATGTACTACACCTTCATTATCCATTCATCGGTTGATGAATATCTAAGTTGTTTCCAAATTCTGGCTATTACGAAAATGGCAGCAATAACATGGATGAATAGGTATTTCTTTGGTAGGGTATAGAGTCTTTTGGGTATATACCCAAGTGTGGAAGAGTGGACTCATATAGTAGATCAATTTCAATCTTTTTGTGGAATCTCCACACAGATTTCCATAGTGTATGCACCAGTTTGGACTGCCATCAGCAGTGTATAAGAGTTCCTCCTTGTCCACATCTTCACCAACATTTGTCAAAAATGTTTTTTTTTTTATTTTTGCCATTATGAGTGGGGTAAGATGAAATCTCAAAGTAGTTTAAATCTGCATTTCCCTGGGACCCATAACTGATCAATGTGCAGAGAATAAGAGACTGTGTACTGCTCAGCTATAAATGGGATAGCCATATCACACTCCTACCCCTGAGGCTCAGTTTTTTTGTGTGTATTCTTTGTATGTTCTAAATACTAGTCTCTATTAAAAGGCATAGCTGGTAAAGATTTTTCCCATTCTGCAGGTGTCCTCTTCACTGGAATTATGGTATCTTTTAATTGTAGAAGCTCTTTAGTTTCATGTGGTCTCATTTTTCATGTGGAACATAATGATTGCACTGTAGGAGTCCTGTTATACTTTCCTGTACCTGTGAGTTCCAGAATATTCCCAACTTTCTCATCTATCTGATTTAGGATATTGGGTACTATGTCCTTGATCCATTTAGAATTTAGTTTTTTGCACGGTGAGGAACTGGGTTTTAGCTTCATTCTTCTACACGTGCTAACCCAGTTTAGCAGCACAATGTATTGAAAATGTTGTCTTTTCTCCATTTTGTATTTTTGGTTCCTTTGTCAAAAATCAGGTAACTGTAAATGTGTGGAGTTAAATCTGGGTCCTCAATTCTATTCCACTAATCAATTTGTCTGTTTTATGACAGTTTCATTCTTTCTTTTTTAATTGTAGCTCCTTAGTAGAGTTTGAGATCAGGGATGGTAATGGCTCCAGCAGGTCTTTTATTGTTCAGTTTTATATTGTTTATCCTAGTTCTTTGTGTTTCTGTATGAAATTTGAGATTACTTTTTCAATTTCTGTGAATAATTATGCTGGAATTTTAATGGGAATTGCATTTAACTTGCAGATTGTTTTTGGTAGATGGCCATGTGCACAATACTACTCCTACCAATCTGTAAGCCTGGAAGCTCTCTCCGTCTTCTATTATTTTCTTCAATTACTTTCTTCATTGTCATAAAGTTTCTATTTTACAGGTCTTCTATTTCCTTTGTTAGATTTATTGAAGGTGCTATATAGATTTCATGAGTGGAACTGTTTTCCTGATTTAACTCCCAGTATGTTTGCTGGTGGTATATAGGAAAGCCACTGATTTTAGGCTGTCAATTATATATCATGCTACTTTTCTAAATGTTCAATATAATTTCTAAGAGTTTTCTGGTGGAGTTTTAGGATTCCTTATGTATAGAATCATATCATCTGCAAATAAAGATATGTTGACTCCTTCCTTTCAATTCATATTCCATTTAGACCCTTCCTTTATCTTATTGCTCTAGGCAAGACTTCAAGTACTATATTATACAGGAATGGAGAAAGTATATGTATGTGTCTTGGTCCTGATTTTAGTGGAATGCTTTCAGTTTTTCTCCATTTAGTATGATTTTGACTATGTGTTTTTGGTATATTTCCTT